ATCCAACTGTAGGAAGTCCTTCCAAATTCCAGTATCTTGTAATTTTTCCTTGGTTACTTTGGTATGGTATGGAAATAATTTCTATATTCATGAGCCATAAAAGCTTTGAAATTATATAAAGCATCCTTTTCATTTAGAATTATCCCTATATATTGTCACCCAGAATCAGCTTTGAGCTAAGAAAGAATCAGAGCAAGCATTCGAAAAGGTATTAGGAGAAAACCAAGTGTCCTTCTTTAATCCTAAAGTGTATGTTTGCAATGGAAAAAGGGCATCATTTTGCCCCCAAGACTCAGGATAGACATGAAAAGGAAGAAAAGCCATTAATTCAAGAGCCTGAAGAAGCGACAATGCTTCCTAGCACAGATAAGAAAGCATCTGGGCCGTAAAAGTTGAAATACATGTGAAGAAGTTGAGCATCTCCTCATGCCAAGGAGTTCGTTTCTCATCAATAGGTTGGAATAAAGTGGAGTGCTGTCATAATGACTATTATTCTCAGAATAATGTATATTTTGAGAGGAATTCCAATTCATATATTTGGAAAATATTTTCAGGAAATAAATTCTTTGTTCAAGATGTTCTTCGATTCCCAGAATATCTTTACAGGAAATTCAACTACCATATCATGAGGAAGAATTCAGTTTTTCAAAACTGAAGCTATATCATCATGTTCACGTATTGTCAACTATTAAATATTAAAAGCCAACAATGGGTGTTAATTTTCTGATTTGAGCAACTTTGGAATATGCATATGTTGTATAGCATATATGATTGAATGGTCAGCATTAGGATCTAAGTACACCAAAATTCAAAACAATTACAGGTGGTCCTAGCAATCATTTGAAGTTACAAAGGACCCCCAAAAAACTTCTTATAACCCCGTTTCAAAGTTGCAAGCACTGCAGTGCCCCCCCATTCTTTCCTCACCAGATCACCACATGCCTTGGGAAAGGAGGGCAGGCCTCTGTCCCTCCACATCCCTAGATACATATGGCTGCATCCTGGCAGTGGTAAGTACCTAATGGATTAATGGGGGGGCAGGGTGGTGGAAATTAGTCCCAAAGCATGTGGGGGTCGAAAAAGGGTGGGAAATAAAGTATGGGATGCCTCAGAGGGTAAGGGAGACTTTGGTAGGCCCGGGACAGGTGGGCAAGGCCTATACTAGGCCTCTGAGGGGTTCCCCCACCTGAGACATGGTGAGTGCTTAAAGACCAGGATGGTTGATTAACAATCACATTGGCGAGAGCAAGAGTGGGGGGTCATTCGCCTCACTTAGCTACCAACAAGACTTGCAATTTTAATGGGCATGGTCCTTTACTATTATAGTTCAAGGACTGCCTGTATGTTAGTAAGTTATGGAAGGTAGTATCTAATAAAAAAAGATGTGACTCTTTATTTCAATGTTACATTTACATTATGGGGAAATCCAACTTTAATATTTGGGCATAAGATGGAGATATGGAATACATACCCTTAATATATTTGGAATGGTTTGAAGATTAGAAAAGATAAATTTTGGAAAGAAACAATGATGCAACCTCAGAAAGAGCAGTTAAATTATTATTGCAATTATAACTCCTGTTAAGATCGGAAGCTACTTTATTCTTTTTTTCATTTCTCTTTCTTTTTTTGTACATCTTTCTTAGCCATTTACTACAGATAAGTCCTTCACCTATGATCACAACCGAGCCCAAAATTTCTGTTGCTAAGCAAGACAGTTGTTAAATGAGTTTTGTCCCATTTTGCGAACTTTCTCGCCACAGTTAAGTTGCAGTTAAGTCATTGCAGTTAAGTTAGTAACACGGCTTCCCCACTGATTTTGTTTATCCGAATGTTGCAAAAGGTGACATGACTGGTGGACACTGCCGCCGTCATAAATACATGCCACTTTCCAAGCAGCTGAATTTTGATCATGTGACCACCAGGATGCTGCAATGCTTATAAGTGTGAAAAATGATCATAAGTCAGTTTTTTCAGTGTTGCTGTATGTTCAGTCACTAAACAAATGGTTTTAAGTCAAGGACTATCTGTACTTGATATTCTTTACTTCCTCTTCAAACCTTGTGATGATAAAAATTCTTTAATAAAATTATGTAACAAAAAAAAATAGCTGATGGCAACTAACTACATCTTCCTGAACTCTCTGATTGGGAAGTAGCAAGCGCTTACCCACATAGACCACGTTCCTATGATTTTCCATCATGACTTCCCAATGCAGTGCTTTTTGGTCAGGATCCAACAGAGACCATTCCTGCTTGGAGAAATACACAGCCACCTCCTGGAAGGATACATGGCCCTCCTGAACAAGGAAACAAAGAACAAAAGAGGTCCAGGTGGATTCGCAAGATCTGTCCCATTGTTCACAAATTCCCAAAGCAAAGATGTTCCCTAAATTAAATGACTATGCTTGCTACGATTCCAAAGTTTAGGCAAGAAAATGCATAGAGCCAAAAACATTTTTTA